TTATTGTTCACCTAATGTACTGGACTGTTTCGTTAATTGATCAATTACTGTCTTGATTGATTTTATTGTTCACCTAATGTGCTGGACTGTTTAGTTAATTGATCAATTACTGTCTTGATTGATTTTATTGTTCACCTAATGTGCTGGACTGTTTAGTTAATTGATCAATTACTGTCTTGATTGATTTTATTGCCTGTGTAATGTATTTCATACAACTACTGTATATTTCTACATTATGTCCTCTTGGTACACAATTGTCCAGTGTCTATTTGGAAATGTACATTACACAAGACATTTTAAAATATATAGCATAAAGATATAATACTTCAAGCTTATGCAATAGTAACACAGCATATATGATTTGGTGAAAGTTGTAAAGGTTAATGCTTGTCTTCTAATTTCAACATTCACGCGAAAGATAAACGTTTGTAAGAATCTGATAAAATATACACCACCTTGACTTCCTTAGAAACGGATCTTTCATACCTGTTTGTTATATTGTAGCTCTTGTATGTATCGCTATATGAAACGATGTTAACTCTTCAAATATATTGTGGGTGAGAACGAGCTTTGTAGTCACTATGAGTAAATCCTATAGACTGGATAGGTAAAGTGAAGAAAAAGTGTCATTGGCCACTATTCAGTTCTTCACATTATATAGCCGCACAATAGCAGATATAATAAATATACTCAATATTAAATATACTGTAAAAGCTGAAATGTAAACTTTATAAGCCTTGAAATAGCTCTATAATAATAAGACTTAGAATAAAAATGTACAGTAATTGTTTATATTTCTGTACCTGTGACTCTACACATGTTTATTTTTCTTCATCTGTGACTCTATACATGTTTATTATTCTGTACCTGTGACTCTATACATGTTTGTTATTCTGTATCTGTGACTCTACATATGTTTATTATTCTTTACCTGTGACTCTACACATGTTTATTTTTCTGTATCTGTGACTCTATACATTTTTATTATTCTTTATCTGTGACTCTACATATGTTTATTATTCTTTACCTTGACTCTACACATGTTTATTATTCTATATCTGTGACTCTAGGCATGTTTATTATTCCGTATATGTGACTCTAGGCATGTTTACTATTCTACACCTGTGACTCTGCTATTATTCTGTGATTATTTATATTTAACTTAGATGAATTTTAAAACTAACTATGGTGTTCTTGTTTTCAATATGATTTGACTGTCCTACATTATCGAACAAGTGCATGACTTCGAAGGTTACGAAAAGCACATGTAAGTTTTGTAACTTGCCTTCAGTGTCCAACATGTGTCAAAGGTCAGATAAATCTTAGTCGAGTGTAGATTTTTATGGTAAATGAAAATGAAAAACATCTACCTCAACAAGGTTACCACAGACGAAAGAGACGGATACTTTTGTAACTAACTAGACGTACTTTTTAATACTGTTTGGCACAAGTTTTGGTTTGGTTGTTGCTAGGCGCAAGGCTACACAATTGGTATCGAAATCCGAATTTTTGCGCCGTAAGCCTGCAGACTTACCGCTGAGCTACTGGGGATAGATGAATAACGATGACATTTACTAATGCTAAATTAGCCATTCTTTCTAACCCAGAGCTAAAAATAATATCTGTATTATACAGTCGGATGATCATCATATCAGTTATTATGAGACTTACAATTTCATTTTATAGTACAACAATATATATCTGTAGAGTTTACTGTGTTTTATCGGTTAAAAACTGGTTTAAATACACCAATGGGGGACTTAAGAAAACGAACCCAGGAGAGATAGTGACAGTTTGAAACTCTCTGATACTAACTTGTCGTTATCTGGGAACAAGAGTGAAACACAATGAAGAAAAAAGATATTGTTAATTTACACTATTTCCTCATGAACATGAAGATGCCAAACGACCCGTATTGTTATTTCAAGTGCAATGTTTTACTCCTAAAAAGTACATATACCAGTTCTTTCTTTAATAAGTCACGAAAAATTAACATACTTTTAAAGCTTAAGCAGGAAAGTTTTGGACAGTCTACACTCCAGAATCACAACAAGCTTATTTATGTTCAACTGTATTCTGAACGAAAATGTGTTCACCTGGGTCTGGAACACATTCATGCTAACCCTAGAAGGAAGTATGTTTCTAAACTATGTCTAAACTCATTTTGGGGGCGTTGGGGTGTATGTCGGAAAACGAAAGTCAACTAACGTGAATGTCATTTGCAAAAGATTATTACACATTAGTGATTGATTCTTCTAAAAGACTTACAGGTGTTACCCGTATCACTGCTCTACACTAAAAGCACAGACATGAATATCTTCCTCGGTTAAACCAGACGAGCATGTTTTTTTGCTGCCTTCATTTATTTTCAGAGTCTTAAAAAACACAAATTAGTCTTAAGGAAATAGTTCATGAACATAAAGATGACAAACGATTTACAAGGTTGTTTCAAATGTTTGATATTTATGGACTGTAATGAGATGCCCACGTAAATCAATACGGAAATAGCAACATTAGTCCTATTCTTATGTCAAAACTTGTATTCATGCAAGCAGTCTTTTTAGTTATGTAGCATAATTCTCTTTTCTCTTTAATACTTTGTACAATACATTGGACAAAAATTGAACACACAGTACACTTACACATGTTTGAAAATAAAAATATGATATAGCACTTTTAGATTCATTATATATTTGTTAGACTCTCAGATGTAAAGTTTTTCTTGAGCTGTGGGAATGCCTGAGCATAACTTATAACAAAAGTTTAAAAAAAGACGCCGTGACAAAACATAAGATTGGTAACTGTTTGCTATTAATTTTTTTGCTTAGTTTGTATAATGGACAAATCTGAAAGGTTTACTAGATGACTGGATTTGTTCCACAGTAAGTCGTTCATTTAGAAAACTGTTTGAGAAAGCATAATATCACTATGTTTAGTTGGAGAAAATTGTTCATATCTAGAATGTAAATAGGACTATATAAGTAATGATAAATTGATTACTGTCTTACTTCTTATTTTTCGTTTGGTTACGAAAATATCTGGAGTTTGAATGTTTTAGTTTAACATAAAAAACGGTATTTTCAGGACTATTTATCTATAAAATAAACTAGTACATGTGTAGTCATACATATTTAAACTATAAACTCAAGCTGTACTACATTACAGTTAATTAATGTGGTACATATAAACTAGTACATGTGTAGTCATACATATGTAAACTATAAACTAAAACTGTACTACATTACAGTTAATTAATGTGGTACATATAAACTAGTACATGTGTAGTCATACATATTTAAACTATAAACTCAAACTGTACTACATTACAGTTAATTAATGTGGTACATATAAACTAGTACATGTGTAGTCATACATATGTAAACTATAAACTCAAACTGTACTACATTACAGTTAAAATTTATGTATAGTTTAAACATTTGACTTATAGATCGACAATAAACAGTCCGTATCGGGGTTACATAGGTTATAACTTAAATTAGTGTATGGATATAATTATGGTGCACAGATAAAATGTATTGAGTTTAAATGATTTTATGTTAATATGGAAAATGTGTCCTTTGCAGGACATTATTGTAATTACCCTAATATGAGGGTAAACCTTAAAGAATGCTATAATATTATAACAAAAAGTGTACCAACTTGTTCACAATTCTTGGAATATGTTAAATACTTTAAACTGTGGGTAATAATACAGAATATAGTGCTCTATTGACCTTTAGAAAACCATTTGATAATATGTGTTACTATGTTTAGTTAGACCAAAACGAGTTTCTATAGAATCTAATAACTACAAGTTAAATTAATACATATAAATGTATATGAATGTGATGAATAGGATAAATATCTAGGGTTTCAATGATTTAGGTTAAAATGATAAAACCGTCCTTTTCAGGACCAGTTAGATTGTAACTTAAACTAATATATATGTATAATCACATGAGTAAGCCATGAAAGTACTCTATATAAATATTAAAGATTAAAAAAAAATACACGATGAAATATAAGAACAATTCTACTTATTCAATCACTTTGTTTGTTATTAAAAATTGAAGACAACTGTTTATTTTCGTTTCGACATACAACTTTAATGTTTTCGTATGATATATAACCAGATTTTAAATTGTACCTAATGTATGTGTCGTGAATTATTTGATACGAAATATTCAAACTGCAATACATAAACTAACCACTTAACGGATTCAAAAACTTTGTTTATTATTTGCCCTCCAGTGGCACAGCGGTATGTCTGCAGACTTACTAAGCTAGAAACCGGGTTTCAATACCCGTGGTGGGCAGAGCACGGATAGTACGTTGTGTAGTTTTTGCGCTCGAATTTAAACGAATTGTTTATTATTGATATTTGAGTGTAAGTATAAAATAGAAAGCTGACCCCATATTTCAATGCAGAATCTAAGATCATGTTAAAAACTGCAAATAACGATTTTTTTTTTATTTATTTCTCATAGTCCTTGCGGACCATTGAGCCGATGGCAGATCTTCCTCTGCCATTGTTTCTAAAGCTGTTTCTTACGTCAACCCACTTGACAGCCTTCCCTCTTTGAAAGGACGAGCATGTTTGCTGTGACGGGGATTCGAACCCGCGACCTTCAGATTGCGAGTCGAGCGCTTTAACCACCTGGCCATGCCGGGCCAAAGAACGAAATAGTATTTTTTATCATTTCATGTGATGCAATCATTATGTATCTAAAGTTTGAACGCTTAATGTTAACATTTAGAAAACAGTAGTCTATATAGATGTCCAGTTAAAATAACGTACGTTAGAACTATCCGCCCACTAGTAGTGCACTTTGGAGCTATCCGCCTTCTGGTGCCACTTTGTGGAGCTATAACGTCACGTGTTCTAACCGGCATCAAAGGGTACCTCCTTCCACTCACCGATGACCCCCTCCACTATAGCTACCCCTTTGGGTCAGTATAGGCCGGTGAACTAATCCCATGAGATAAGCATATTTTGTCAAGTTCTTCCAACTGGAGGTATATTTTCAAAAGTCACGAACTTGTAGTGGTATCTATTGTTATTATCTCTTGAGATAAAGGCATTTTGTCAAGTTCTTCTTGCTTTTCGTTTACTTTTACAAGTAATGTACTTCTAGGGATACTTGTTCTTGTTGTCCCTTAAGATAAAGACATTTTTTCAAGCTCTACCTACACTAAACTTGCAAGTAATATACTTCTAGATGTATCTGTATTTCTTGTCCCTTGAAATAAACACCTTTTGTTAAGTTCTTCCTACTCTATATTTACTTTTACAAGTATAACGTATTTCTAAAAGTATCTGTACTTCTGGTTCCTTGAGATAAAAACATGTTGACAAGTTTTCCTCTAAGTTCTTCCTACTTTTTATTTACTTTTACAAGTAATGTAATTCTATGTATGGCTCATCTTGCTGTTTCTTATATTACTGTTACAAGTTATATACATCTATTATATTACGATCTATACTGTTACAAGTTATATACATCCATTATATTACGATCTATACTGTTACAAGTTATATACATCTATTATATTACGATCTATACTGTTACAAGTTATATACATCCAGTATGAACTTCCTTATTATTCCTTGTTACTTATAACCTTCAATGTAAATTTCTATCATACACCTTCATTTATTTCCTTTATAATCAAGTACGTGCAGTTTATTTTAGAATCAAATATATCAAGCAGTGAAACACCTGTGATAAACAACTCCGAAACGTAAAACTCTTAGAAAACGCTTCGCTAATCTCTTGCAGCTATTTCTGTTTCAAAATGGAATCATCTGTCAGAAATTAAGATGACCCGCTAGCAAACACACCCACTTCGTCTCTGATAACTTAATATGGGCATTGTTAAAAAAGTGCAGTTTGTCTCACCAATGTTGATTCTATCTAATGCTTTAACTTTGATTCTGGTTAATTTCATAACAACTGTTGTTTCAAGGGTGTTTTGGGTGTCCCCAATAGGACAGCGGTAAGTCTTCGGATTTACAATGCTAAAATCAGAGGTTCGATTCCCCTCGGTGGGCACAGCAGATAGCCCGATGTGGCTTTGCTATAAAAAACATACATACATATTTTAGGCAGTGTAGACACAATAAAGTTTAGACTTTGTTGGACCCTTCCTATTAGTTTCAAGAGTGGGAGACGTTTTGGCATCTAAACTGAGGCCTTCATTTAGGTCTAAGTCGACACAAAAGGCCTCATTTTAGAAGCCGAAACATCATCACATTCTAAAAATAGGCAGACGTAATCCATTTAAGCTTAAACTCTACCAATACTTGCAAATATTTATTTCTGACTTCACGTTCAGTCTGAAGCCCTAAGTTCGTCATTTAGTGTAAAGATACTCTGCAGATCATGTTTCTAGTTAATGCTATTTCTGTTTATCTTGGAAATCTGTATTTTAAAAATAAATATTTAGTCATATCTAAATTCAAGCACTGTAATAGTAACATTTGTGATATGCCCCTATGTTAAAACGTCTTATCTTTACTAGAGTAAACTTACCAGTTGAATTTGCTTTGACCCGTCTACAGTGTCAAACGTAGCCTGCGCGTGGTACCATAAAGGTATACGAACACGTGTGTCCCGTGCACGTTGTGACAAATCAGTCTGTACTCATAATGTTGAGATACTCAACTAACTTATTTATATTTTATTTCCTAATCTCGCCGAACTGTTTGTTATAGCTTTAGCTCAACATCTAAAGCTCTTCGTTAATACACAGAAGGAACGCGTCTGATCGGTATTATACGGGGTGTGAAGCTGCCGTTGAGATCGAAAGCGCGAGTAAACGCGACTCTTTAGTTTTGCCAGGAATGTCTCAGAGTAGCGATCGGTTTCACCGTTCAAGGTGCTCTAGTGGCGACTTCCGTACTCATTGTTCGATCGGTTTCACCGTTGAAGGTGCTCTAGTGGCGACTTCCGTACCCATTTGTTCGATCGGTTTCACCGTTGAAGGTGGCGACTACCGTACTCATTGTTTCTTCAAAGTCTTTGCTTTTCATTGCTTACAACTTTTTTATCTCCTTTTAATTTCTTTGTTTTAAGTAATTTATTTGTTATTTTAAGTCTTTCATTTTTGTCGTCTCTTTATTTATTTTCATTAATGGTCCTTTTCAATTTCCCAATTATTTCTTCTTCTACTTATTAAGTGTTATTTATTTTATTGTCTTCTTAATTCCATACACTCCAGTTTTTTGTTGTTTTTGTTCACTCCCTTGTCTCCTCCCCCCCAGTGGCACAGCGGCATATCTGCGGACTTCCAACGCTAGAATGCGGGCTTCGATACCCGTGGTGGGCAGAACACAGATAGCCCATTGTGTAGCTTCGTGCTTAATTACAAACAAACAAAATCCCTTAACTTTCTCATTTTTGTTTATAAATATATATATATATATATGTGTGTGTGTGTGTGTATGTATACAATTTTTCAAATAAACTGTATTACATCAAAAGCGTACAGGCGATCACTCAGTACTGTATAGCTCTGACGAAATTATAATATAACCTACAATTTATTTATTGTACATGTAGATGTACGCGCCAACAAAGTTCTAATATAACAATGTAAAATTATACCGTTTGTACAAAAGGTATTATTTTAAAGTGAAAATGTCTGCGGTTATAGCTTCCAAAAACATTGGAGATATTCCATCTATCAGACATAATCAAAACAACAGATGCAGAGCTAGTCAGCATGTATCCGAAAAAAGGGGATTAGGATCTGGGTGCTAGAACTCACAATGTCCCAGATCCCACTATCACTCACCGTCTATAGCCGGTTGTGGGTATGATAGTTATCCCTAAAAACCCCATAAAAATAGAAATAATATATTAAACCACCCTTGATTTCTATCATAGATCATCCAACCTTCTCCTTAGTGTATTTACTCCAATATTAAATTACGAAATATACAACCTTACTGTATATTTCTAGTATTAATATTGACATTTTTTCACTGCAAGATATTAATAACTATTCAATATAGTATAAGCAGTAATACTTCAAATAATATTTCAGTTAATGTTTTTATTATTAACTATAAACTGTTTTTTAGGAGTTTTTTCTTATATTACAACTTTGTTGGTGAGTTCACTTACTTGTTGGCGCGTACATCTACATGTATAATAAATAAATTGTAGATTATATTATATATATATATATATATATTCTTTAGCTCTTAACTCTATTTTGTTTTTTTTGTTTTTTGTCTATTACAATCTTCGTTTTTAGGACTGTTGTTTTCTGGTGTCTAATTCAAGTCATCCAATACCACACTATTCACAATCTCTCATTATACTAAGCACTTTCATTTGCTAGATCACACCCACGATTTGACATCATAAACACTTTCAATTCCCAAATTACCCTCGTAATCTAACATAACAACCACCTTCAATTCCCAGGTTACACTTGTGACCTAACATAATGAAAACCCAGTTTATACTGGTGATCTAATATAATAAACACATTCAATTCTAAGATTACACTCGTTATCTAATATAATAAACACCATAATTTGCCAGATTACACTCGTTATATAACATAATAAACATATTCCATTCCCAGATCACACTCGTGATCTAACATAATAAACACCTTTATTTGTTAGATTCCACTCACGATTTGTCGTCATAAACACCTTCAATTACCATATCAGACTCGTGATCCAATATAATATACCCCTCTAATTACCAGGTTACATTCATGATCTAATATAATAAACACCTTCAGTTGTCAGATCATACTCGTGACCTAACATAATAAACACCTTTGTTTGCTAGATTAGACTCACTATTTGACATCATAAACACCTTCAATTCCCAGACTACACTCGTGATCTAATATAATATACCCCCAATTCCCATATTACATTCGTGCTCTAATATAATAAACACCTTCATTTGCCAGATTACACTCTTGATCTAACATAATAAACATCTGCAATTTACAGATTACACTCATGATCCAACATAACAAACTCCTTCAATTCCCAGGCTACACTCGTGACCTAACATAATAAAAATTTTAAGTTCCCAGTTTATACTGGTGATCTAATATAATTAATGTACACATTCAATTCTCAGATTACACTCGTTATCTAACATAATATATACATTTATTTGGCAGATTAAACTCACGATTTGACGTCATAAACACCTTCAATTCCCCGATTACATATGGGACCTAATATATTAAACATCTTCATTCGACTAAAATGATTTTTATAACATGTAGAAACTTAAAGCCAAAGTCCCTACTGGCCAATCGGGGTTGAGTGATAAAAATAAATTAGAAATCCAGCTAAAACTCAAACAAATCGAGCTTGAAGAAGCTCGTATCGAAGCTGAAAGAGCAAAATAAACGTCTCGAAGCGGAAAAAGAACAAGCTCGAATCGAAGCTGAGAAAGAACAAGCTCGAATCGAAGCCGAGAAAGAACAAGCTCGTATTGAAGCTGAAAGAGAAAACAAACGTCCCGAGGCCGAAAAAGTTCGCATTGAAGCCGAAAAAGAAATTAACTGAAAGAAATGGAAATTAGACTCAACACTGATCGACCAAGGCAAAATGATAACTCTGAACTTAATCGATATGTTAAAATACCACCATGAAGTTGATATATATTTCCAACATTTCCATGGAATGGCCCACCGAAAAATGGTCATTATTATTTCAGAGTGTCTTAACTGGTAAAGTACAAGAAGCTTATTCCGCTCTCTCTTTAGAAGATTTACGAATTATGATAAGGTTAAAGCAGCTATTCTCAAAGCATACGATTAGAACCAGATGCTTATCGCTAAAAGCTTCGATGTTATCGCAAACAAGATAATCAAACTTATATGGAATTTATGTACGAAAAAGAGGTTTATTTTGGTCGATGGTGCAATTCTATTCATATTGGCAATAGTTTCGACAAACTAAGACAATTATGCCTAATTGAGGAATTTAAACATTGTGTAAGTGACGACCTCAAAACTTACTTAGA